CACAAGTATTGTGATAAATACCAGCTAATTATCTACAAAGACTTGATAATTGTTTCCCGGAATGAAGAACGCTATGCATCTTAGAAGAAACGAAATTAACTTTTTTCAAAGAATTATTAAAAAAAAGAAAAACTTAAATTAAATACGAGTTTAAAGATGCAACAAATAGGTTTTTATGGTGCATGTAATAAATGTCTTTTATGCTGTCATGTGTATTTGTATCAAGTAAGGAATGATGATGTAACATCATCAATTGCTTTGCGTTACAAATGAACAACATTTGAAATAAATTTTAGTTCAACATGTTTCGCAACGTACATATTTACTACGTAGCTTAAAAATAAATTCGTAATCAGTTGTTATCCTTTTCAAAAAAAAAACAAAAATTTGTTTGAATTATCAAAAAAAATAATATATAGTGATTATTTGTGTCACCACTCGAAGAGTACGACGTAACGTGTTTCGCAATGAGAGAGAGAGAAAAGAAAATTACTTTGCAGAGATAATAAATGGATCGAAAAGTGTACTGGGTTAGTCTCTTAACATTTCGTTAAAATTTCTCCGGCCGAATATCGTATGGGCGGCAATTCTTTTAATTTATTTTCAGTTGTTTTTTTTCTTCTTCTCTTTAGTTGAATTATGAATTGCGACTTGTTCACGAAAGTCGTTTTCAAATTTAAATTTAAATTTCGATTCGTACCCCCGATTTATAATTGAGCGTAAAACAATCTTCACGCGATCTCCGCTTATTATCTTTATCTAGATGCACTTTAAAAGAGCCGATGCGTCGTTTTTGATTCGTTTAGTGTTAATAAATTGTACTGACTATCTCTCTTTGTTTCTCTCGTGTTTGTAAGTTTGGCATGCAGAGAGGAAAGAAAAAGCAATTAAACGTATCGCATTTGCCGGTTAGAGTTTTTGAACCTGCGTTCTGGTCTGTTTTCAAAGTAAACGCGTTCGAAATGTTTCACAGGAAATGGGTTAAAAAGTGTGTTGGGAAAAAAAAATATGATATTTACAATTCGAACATATGCCACGTCTATTTGATCACAAACACTCGGAAAGACGAAAATATAGCATTGTTTATGCCGTAGTTCGTTTTAGAGAAAGTCTGATACCAATTTGGGATGCAGCCTTCAGAAAGAAAAGCCTTTCATTTAAATTGAGAATCCTACGTGGAATTACGCCGTCTCACAAACGCATTGTTTATAATAAAGTTTAATCTCGTTTCAAATATAAACCACGATTATTTCATTCAATTTAATTATCGGACATTCATTAAAATCGTTTAATGATTATAGTAATTGCTTCATTAAGACCTCTCGATAAGTTTTCCATTAAGAATGTTCAGCTTACAATTCGTTACTTAATTAATGGAAAAACGGTTTAATTCGATCCGCGTGGTGCGATCAAGGTTAATTTGACTTCCTTTCAATTTCTGCAGACAGTTATTGCAATGTCAACAGCACATCCATCCGTTCTTTTTCATCGCTGAAATATTATGTTTTCGTTTCATTTTTAATTATACTTTTAAGACGATGGATTTCGGGAGACGAGTCTCGTCGAGATTTGGACTCTACTAAAGGTTGCTGTTGTTGTTGTTGACGGTCCCAGGGCAAGTTTTTACGAGCGCTTAAAAGAAATTGTCGGAATGTGAACTTTCATAGTTCAGTTTTAAACGAACGAACTCGATAATAATAATAACCTTTCTTAGTAAAACATATAAAAAAAAAACGTTGTTAAATCGATTTCCAATCAGTCGGAATTATGTAATGTGAATGAAAATTTAACATCGTAAATATTTATTATCAAATCATTATTTGTAATCAAATTGATTAATTTTATTATGAATGCATTTAATCAAAATGTATTAAGTACTTATTGAATGTAAGTGTAACATAAATTTTATAATCTATGTATTAATTTTAACATGTTATTTTATTGACTTCAATAAATTACGAGAGTACAACTGAAACCTAAACGTACAGATGCGATAGTTTAAGAACAAGAAGCACTTAAAGTTTTAAGACGACACTAATAAAACGTTTTGAAGTAGTGTTTCCCATCGGAAAAATATCCGGACGGAAAATGATTTACGAAGTCTCGATAAAAACAAACAAAAAAAAAACTGTAATAAATCACGTTTCATGTAATGAACGAGAAACGCTGTTCCCTTTGATCTCAGAACTTAAATGGAAAACAATCAAATAGAATTACTAATTGTAAACACCAATTATTTGGTATTAAAACCGAACGATTGTTTTCTGTGTGTTAGCGGTGAATGAAAAAAGAAAAACGAAGAGAAGAAGCATTAAGTGTAATCTCGGTAATTCGATATGGTCCCTCCGTGTCGAGAGGAAAAGGCTCGAAAATGTTATGGTGGTTACGTGCCGAAGCATACAAGACATCTCATAAACGATTTACATCCACTGCACAGCCGAGAAAACGCAAAACTGAAGAAAGTTTGTTTCACTTTACCATTCGAAAAATGTGTTTGCAATTGATGTTTCTTTGAATCGAGCCACCAAATGTCGTTTTATAGTAGTAATATTAAGTGTTTACTTTAGAAATTACATTTACAAATTCATATAATTACATTACGAAAATAAGGAGATGATGACTTCTGTTTCGACATCAGAAAACACCGACGCAAGATGTTTGCCTCAAAATTAATTAGTTTACAATACGTATGAAGTGGTCCAATTACATCAATTAATCGGCGGTCTTTTCTTTTCTGTTAATCTAATAAGCATTAAATTCGCATAAATTATTTGATGTCATCGTGATCTAACATCACCGATTCTAAATTTAGCCGATTCTGTGTCGCTAATTAAATATATCTAAGATGCAGCCGACCGGATGAAACATCGTCGTTACCCGCCACGGAAAAAGAAAACAACTATATAGAACCAACACATAAATAATTCCTTGTGTAAATATATGCTGAAAATGTGGTAACTTATGGAATAATATTTGTTTAGATGAAGCGGTTCGTGTAACATGTGTGTGTGTCTTCGGAAAGCGGCATTAATCATTTCACGGAGATACCATTAATTCATCGAATGTTATTGCACGAACTTGGTAATAATATGTGCTTTCCTATTATTATTATTTTTTGAAATTCTGGAGCTTCTCGACAATGAATGAATGAATGAATGAATGTAGTGCGTTATCGGAAACACGCGCGCTTTGTAGCTTAATAATCTTCGGACAGTTCTCGGAAACAAAACTGCAAGATACAGTGTATCCGGTTACAATAACCTCCACGCAATTCAGGAAATTGACGCAGAGTACGCTGATAGGAGTACCAGAACTGGTTGCTGATTAGGACCATCCTTTCTTCAAACCACTTCATAATATTTATTACATATTTTTGTTTTTTTTCGACTCTTTATCAACATTAGTTGCGAAAAGTTGCAACATTCTTCAGTTGAAAATAGACATTCGTATAACACATAATGTTTATATGGTTCAATATTAATTTATGAGCTGTATACAATTACTCCGAACTGTGGACGTTTCCTCACTGATGCAACTCCTATTTATAAACTCTATAACTACAATTCGCATTTCTCTTACTTTACTTAGAGCTTATAAATAACTACGGGGGTAGTTTCCATCAAGATGGATGGAACTCTGATAAATAAGTTAATATTACAAAAGTTTCTATGTGCGAATCCTTATAAATATTTGAATTCGCGAGCCATCTCTTGCATCACACTTTTAAGTATCAAGGCAATTTAACACATTATTAAGAAGATTAAATTGTATGTACAACATGTGCATGCTTCGTTCAGTCAGCTTTCAACATGCTCCAATTGAAATCTTCGACGTTCTCAATCAAAGGAAGTGTTTCATTTCCGCACAAATCTCTGTTATATAAACAATTTAGTTAATTTATGTGCAAAAAAAAAACAATGTCCTTGCAAAATTCAATTATAACTTTAATTATTTCTAATTTATAATTAATAATTTTTATTAAAGGGTTAAATTGATAATAACAATGTACAATGTGATGATAATATTTTGAGTGTGCTGTGTATTTTGCATGTTATGTCATCGATTGTATCTGCGAAAGTAATTTGCTCGAATGTAGCGTTATTATAAATGTTGTGTATATTTATGTAGAATGACGTCAGAAACTTGCACTTGTATTGTGACAAGAAAGCCGACGAAGGACCATATTCGGTAATGAGGTCGGACACATGGGGCACAGACATGCAGTTACGCTTGAGCTTTCAATTACACGCTCTTCAAATCTTTGTCGCTGGCTGCACTTTTGCTGGACCATTGATAACACAAGATTTCATTGACGAATCGAGAACGGACAAAACAATTAATAAACATTGCACATACATGTGTGTTTGAATGCTTGTAAACGTACACTCGATGTAATTGCTTTATATCACAATTGCGTTAAAAGCTCATGTTTATACAACCAACTTTACCGTTGACAAATTTCATTTATTTCCTTTTTTTTTGCAATCTCTCTCTTCTATGTATATTAATTTCCTTTAGAAATTATTGTGATTTGAGTATCTATATTTGGAACAGTATGACCATGTTAATTTATAAGTTATTATATATTTATAATCTTAAATTGATAATAGTTTAAATTCAAAATCGGAATTGAAACACAGTCAATATGTGAACCATCTAGAGTGTGGCAGTGATAGCTTATGTGACCTCCTGTTACTTATATACATGTGAAATATAATTAAATTGGCCAATTCCTATAATAATATATTTTTTGTACAAATAATGTCCAAGGCGACATTGATAGCCTAGTGTTACGACCTTTGAACATTTGAACGCAAGATTTTTATATTTTTACGCATAAACTTTTTCTTTCTGAAATCATAATGAATACCGAATTTTTATATTTAATATGAACCATCTTGAATAATTATTTAAAATAAACGTTATGCTATTATTTATAAACTATAGTAAAAAAAAATGGAAATAACTAATAAATAACTAACTAATTTTTTTAATTTTAGACTTGTACAGGATGTCAAGATGCTTACAAATGCAATTGCACTGGACTGAAAGGCAAAAGTGGAATAGAAGGTATTCACGGATTGCCTGGAATAACAGGTGATTATGGTGATACTGGATACGATGGACCTCAAGGTATGAAAGGCGAAAAAGGTGAAATAGGGGACCGTGGCCATATGGGTGACAAAGGATTGAGGGTAATTAATGGAGACTCAATGTTATGAATAAATATTTTTATAATATACAAATTCATTTTCAGGGTGATGAAGGTCAAAGAGGAAATATTGGTCGGCCAGGGAATCCTGTAAGATTAAACATATGCCTCGCTGAATATTAGTTATGTGAGAGTTTATTTTCTAGGGAGTTCATGGAGAACCTGGAATAGTAGGTCCTGCGGGTATTGATGGTTGTAATGGAACAGATGGTATGCACGGCAACATGGGAGGACCAGGTTATCCAGGAATTCGCGGCGGATTAGGCGCTGAAGGTTTACAAGGTCCCCAAGGTGAACCTGGTGAAGGCGGAGGTAATTCTGTGGGCACCAAAGGTGATAGAGGGCAACCTGCACTTTACGGAAACCCCGGCCTTGTTGGCGATAGTGGACCAAGAGGTTACCCTGGTTACAGAGGTCAAAGTGGAGAAATGGTATTATACTGTTTAGAATATTTGTAAACTTTTATACTAACATCAATGCGCAGGGAAAAATGGGAAGTTACGGACCTGCTGGACTTCGCGGTGATGTGGGAGAAACAACAATGAGCAAAGAGGGTGAAAAGGGAGATGATGGTGAAATTGGTGAACCTGGTCCACCTGGCGATATAGAGGGTCTTCAAGAATTGAATCCTTTACCACCTATTATGTTATCCAAAGGAATTAAAGGAGATAAAGGTTTTATGGGCACTAAGGGCAAATACGGAATCAAAGGAATGTTTGGAATGCAAGGAGACATGGTAATAAAAATCATATTTATTTCTTCAGAAATAGTGTATAATTTTTTCAATTTTGTTTGTTTGCTAGGGTTTACGTGGTTTGCCAGGTAGAGCAGGTTCAAAAGGTGAACCTGGTATTGATGGTCAACGTGGTAAACAGGGTCGAATCGGTCCATATGGTCCAAGTGGCATAAAAGGAGATAAAGGTGCTCCAGGATATGTAGGAATGGACGGAACTAATGGCACGAAGGGAATTATGGGCGAATATGGTCAAAAGGGGTTACCTGGTCTCCAAGGTCTAGAAGGTCCCAAAGGCATGTATGATCCAACATTGGATGAAATTGTGGATGGTGTTATTGGTCGTCAAGGAGACGAAGGTTTGAGAGGAGATAGAGGTATTGCTGGTATACCAGGAAAACCGGGTCCTCCAGGGCCTATGGGTCCACCAGGGTTACCAGGACCTCAGGGACCATCAGGTCCGAAAGGAGTAAAAGGAATATCAATAAAAGGAGAACGTGGTGATGAAGGAAATATAGGTTATCCTGGAGGTTTAGGAGACATGGGATTTCCTGGCATTCCTGGTGCAATTGGTTTAAAAGGTTTTGCTGGTATGGATGTTGTTGGACCTCCTGGTGAAGATGGCTTGCCCGGTGTTGACGGCTATACAGGAAGAGCAGGTGACAGGGGTGATGATGGAATAAAAGGTTCTAAGGGTTTCCCTGGACATTCTGCAAATCAAATGGCGGGACCTGCCGGAGAATCTGGAAATCCAGGAATCCCGGGTTTACCTGGAGATGATGGACATCCAGGTTATGACGGTATTCATGGAGATAAAGGTCGTAGAGGAGATGACTGCGGTTATTGTAAACCAGGTACAATTACAATGAATCTAAAACAATTGACAAATATTAATTATATTATTTTTAATCATGTAGGACCACCCGGTATGAAAGGTGAAAAAGGTGATTTTGCTAGAGATGGTCCACCCGGTGATCATGGTTATACAGGTTTTCCCGGACCACGTGGGCCAAAAGGATTTAAGGGTCGTGTGGGTATAATGGGTGATAAAGGTCAACAAGGCCCAGCTGGAGCACACGGAAATGCTGGTGAACAAGGAAAGAAGGGTAATCCAGGTGTACTTTTAACACCAGTACCACAAAAAAAGCCACCTCGTGGAGATATTGGTGCAGTCGGAAGACAAGGAGAGAGTGGAAATCCGGGTTACCCGGGACTACCCGGTGTTGATGGACCGCAAGGTCCCAAAGGTCAATTTGGAGATAGTGGTCAACCAGGAACACACGGTAAAGATGGTAGACCAGGTATTGACGGAGAATTAGGACAAAAAGGTGAAGCTGCTACATTTCCAAAAGAAATGCTCAGAGGCGATAGAGGATTTGATGGTCAAAAGTAATATTTGTTAATAATTTAAAATGAAATATACTCGTGCTAATATATTCTATTTTAGAGGATATCGCGGTGAAGTTGGAGAGCCAGGAGCACCAGGTATTCCTGGTGACAGTGGAATTTACAATAAAGCCTACTTTGGTGATCAGGGAATTAAAGGTCCAGTGGGAAATCGAGGTACATGTTACGCTTTATTTCATGAAATTATTCTAATTTGTCATTTATAATATATATTATGTTATACAAGATACAAGAAACTAAAAATACTCATTTTAGGATATGCTGGTAGTTACGGAAGGAAGGGAGAACGTGGTAATAAAGGTCTACCTGGTTTATATGGACCACCTGGTTCACCAGGATTATCAGTACAAGGTATTTCCGGGTTGAAGGGATATCCAGGTATACAAGGAATTCAGGGACCTAGAGGTCTACCAGGTAAACCTGGCAAAGATGGACCTATAGGTTTCGATGCTGCACCTGGTATTAAAGGTTCCATGGGAGAAATAGCACAGAGCATTTTATATGGAGAAATGGGACCTTCTGGACTAACTGGAATTAAAGGAGAGTATGGCGATGAAGGTCCTAGAGGAATTCCGGGAATATCAGGAATTCCTGGTGTAAAAGGAGAGAAGGGTCAAAAAGGTGCCATTGGTTATGAAGGAATGGAAGGGTTAAAAGGAGCTAAGGGTTTACGAGGCAATATTGTACATGGAATTCGAGGTGATGTTGGTATTCCAGGAAGATTTGGATTAATTGGATTACCAGGTGATCAAGGTCCAATTGGGTTTGATGGATTACCTGGTATGTTAGGTGAAAAAGGCCAACAAGGTGAACCAGGCCATATAGGATTAATTGGAATTTCTGGAGAGAAAGGAGAACGTGGCTACGATGGTAGGATTGGCACACCTGGAAAATTTGGATGGCCCGGAATAGCAGGAGATAGAGGAGACATAGGATATTTTGGTTTGAATGGAACCATAGGAGAAAGAGGTTATATTGGTTTGCCTGGTCTAAAAGGTGGTGATGGTGATAAGGGATTGCCTGGATATCCAGGATTAACAGGTCGTCCAGGATTACGCGGTCTTAAAGGCGACAAAGGATACAGAGGTTTTAAGGGAATCGTTGGAGATTCTGGCTATAATGGACCTATAGGTGATACAGGTGATTCTGGTCTACCGGGTGAACCTGGACTTGACGGATGGCCAGGTAGAAATGGTCAACCTGGTGAAAAAGGCAATCCTGGAATATATGTTATTGGTAGAGAAGGTTTGAAGGGTGAGAAAGGCAACAGAGGATATCCCGGAGCAAGTGGAAAGTTTGGATTGAAGGGAAAACAAGGTGAAATTGGTGTGAACGGTCCTCCTGGACTCAGAGGTCAACAGGGCATTAAAGGGCATCATGGCAAAGATGGTAATCCCGGATTTGATGGGCCTAAAGGTGAAATTGGAAATATTGGTATAAAAGGTATATCTGGTTTAATTGGAGAACGAGGAATGGATGGCAATCCTGGCAAAATAGGAAGGCCAGGAATGCCAGGAGAGTTAGGATTTATGGGAGAAATAGGTTTACCCGGTAATCCTGGAATAAAAGGAGATCCCGGACTTCCAGGGTTTACTTCACTCGATAGATCAGTTCAGAAGGGAGACCAAGGTAATCCTGGACTAAATGGTTACAATGGCACCCAGGGTGAACAGGGTGACACTGGTTATAAAGGTGAGACCGGATTTAAAGGAGAAAGAGGATATATCGGATTACAAGGACAACAGGGCGAAACGGGACCGGCTGGTTTCAAGGGCCCGGTTGGAGATAAAGGTTTTCAAGGTCTTCCTGGCTTAACATCAAAGAATAATGAAAAAGGTGAACCTGGAAATAATGGTATGACAGGAACACCTGGTCCATTTGGAAATCCTGGACAGAAAGGTGCTCCCGGCGATGAAGGATTTTTGGGACCCATTGGTATACCGGGCGCTCCAGGTATAAGTATTACTGGTACTAAAGGAACAGAAGGAAAAGAAGGCGAGCGTGGTTTACCTGGACATATTGGAGATATGGGATATGACGGCGCTCAAGGACTTCCTGGATTGAGAGGTCCAAAGGGATTTGCTGGTGAACCGGGCTATGCACCATTATCATTAAAAGGAGAAACTGGTGAAAGTGGTGACTTTGGATATGAAGGATATCAAGGAAAACCAGGTCAAATGGGAGATATTGGAGTACCGGGATATCCTGGCTTACCAGGTTTTAAAGGTCTTAGAGGAATCTTAGGAGATCAAGGAATTACTGGACAACGTGGTTTAACAGGCTTCAAGGGCAATAGGGGCGAGAAAGGAAATGAAGCAGTATACCAAAATTACGGTTTCAAAGGATATAAAGGTTCCCGTGGTGAAGATGGGTTGCCTGGATTATCAGGAATTTTTGGTGTAAATGGAGCAATGGGTATTAAAGGTATACGAGGATTGGATGGTGAAGCGGGTAAAGATGGAATACCTGGATATGAAGGAATTAAGGGAGACCGTGGTGATAATGGATTCGACGGTTTAACTGGTATACAGGGTATAACTGGTTTACCAGGAGACAGAGGTCCACCTGCACCTAGAGCTGCCGGACCAACGAGTAGAGGTTTCTATTTTGCCAGACATTCACAAAGTTCATACATGCCGTTCTGTCCAGCAAATACTGTTAAAATGTGGGATGGTTACTCCTTACTTCACATAATGGGTAATGCCAAAGCTCATGGTCAAGACTTAGGATCACCGGGTAGTTGCTTAAGAAGATTCAATACAATGCCTTACCTCTTCTGCAATATACAAAATGTATGCGATTATGCCCAAAGAAACGATTACAGTTATTGGTTATCAACAAATGAACCAATGCCTGCAATGATGACACCAATACCTGCTGAAGAAACTCAACAATACATTTCGAGGTATTTATTTATAGTAGAAACAAATAATTCACATAGGCGCTACAAATATTTCTAATATATTACAGATGCACCGTTTGCGAAGCACCTACACGTGTATTGGCTGTACATAGTCAAAGTATGGAAGTTCCTAATTGTCCAAATGGTTGGGACCAACTTTGGTTTGGATACAGCTTCATAATGGTAAGGAAAACGGCTTTTCATTCATTTAATGAAAAACTAATAATATTCAAATGATTATATAGCATACCGACGCTGGAGCAGAAGGTGGTGGTCAACCATTAGCATCACCAGGTTCCTGCTTAGAGGAATTCCGCCCCAAACCATTCATTGAATGCCATGGACATGGAAGGTGCAATTACTTCAACACCGCACATTCATATTGGCTTGCTACAATAGAAGATTACGCTATGTTCAAAAAGCCAAGACAGCAAACAATAAAAGCAGGCAATGATTTAACGTCGAGGGTCAGCAGATGCGCTGTGTGTATCAGAAGAAAAATTGAAAGCGTTGATACAAGGAACGTCATTCCACCTCCAGCGTTCAGGATCAAACCGCAGAATAGACGAACGCACATTTACGAAAATAACCCATATTCTGGGACTCATTTGAAAACGAAGCGCTTGAGAAGCAGACAAAGATATCACCCACAAAATTAAGTGATTTTCAAAAGTTATATTTGAATTTGTATATTAATGTATTATAAAAATCCATAATATTTCCTAGCTTTCCTATTATGTTATAATTATTAAATATATACTAAATTAATTAATATTAGTTAATTTTCAGTGTTCATTTTTATGCCATATATTTTATTAAACTTTTGCTATTTAAATGTGTTCGCTTTATAAACAAACATAAGCCACTGCCAAAATTAAAAAGGATTTCGAAAACTAGTAATAAATATTTTATATGTTACCTGTCTACCAATGTATATTTGTTATTATTCCTAAATAAATTCCATCAAATAATTAATATGCAAATTAAATAGTTGAAGCAGAAAGGCTTCCGTCGAGTCATTAAAAGATTATCAACTAGAGTTTAGTGGAAAGACAAAGTTATTAAAAGAAATAATAATTATAAACAATCAATTTTCCATATTTATTACTAATTCTATTGTACTGTTATAAAATCGATAAACATAGTATTTTTACGAATTTATATAACAAAGTCGAATATTTTTTGGGGAAAAGGTATAATTTCTCAAATAGAACTACAAGTGAAAAAAGATGACAATTCATTTCCATTGTGTATTTAGCAATAGTATTTAATTTGAATTATCATGTAATACAAAAAATAATTTACAATACACAGGTGATTATTAAGGGCTGGAATTTTGTTCTTTGGCATTTTGCAATGCTTGAGTAATGAACAATTTTGCCAAGGATTGAGAACAAAATTGAGAAATATGCTGACTGTAAGTATTGATCTGTCCAGCAGTAAGCATTGGTTGTAACCTCGGTGGCACAGGATGCGGTCTAAACAATTTAGTGATATCTTCTTCCGGTAGTGGAGGTTCGTCTTTTGCAACCCTGCTAGCATTCTCCTGAGCCCTCTTTTGCAAATAACGATGCTTATCTTGCTGTTGACGGCTGACCAATTGTTGATATCTGTTGAATTTGATGGCCTCCTGGTTCAACTCGTCCACCCTGTCCATCAAACAACGCAGTTGTCCTTCAAGAACCGAGGCAGTACCAAGATCTAAAAATTTAGAACCTTCTTCTTCGGGAATTAATTCGGCCAGCTCAGACATCATAATGTTTGTCAAGGCAGAGTTCTTTATGGTAACTGGTACCTCAACGAACAAATTCTCGTAACCGACTTTCAGTTTCAGCAAGGCCTCCGGCGTAAATTCACCGTCCTTGTACATTTCAATTGCTTGCGGTGTCAAGCGATACGCTTTCAAACTCAGAAATCCTCTTGAAGACTTTTGGGTATCATAAATAACCACAACACTCTCCTCAATAGATGTTTGGTAGTGATATTGGGACTCCAGCAATGGCAAACTTAAGAAATTACCAACATCTGCGCTCTGGTACCAACCAACATGGAAATGATCAACATTGACGCGTCTTAAGCGACGCATCATTGCCAGCTGATATTCATCCTCATCCATGCTTTCATCCTGTTGCTTCGGGAAAGGAAAACAATTTGTTATTTCCAGACAATCGTCAACTACAAGACCCAGCAATGCTCCTTGTGCAACATCCATGTTACTAGTAGATTCTTCATGGCAATGTTTCACCATTTTCATGACAGCCTGAAAAAAAAAAACAATTAAAACTTTAATATATAATTTTCAATAAATTAAATAACACAATATTTCATCAATATATATTGTAATTGATGTGTTCAGTTTTATATTTTCAAAAAAAAATAGAATAATTTGTCTAAATTGTATTAAATTTGTTGCATTATCAATATATGCTACACTATCATTAAAAACATAACCTATGAAATAATACAATTATAAATGCAGCCCCAGGAAAGTAGGAACTCATTATTTAAAGAAAACATATATTTACCAAGCCATCGCATTGCACACAGGCAATTGTAGAATCCTTTTCAGGAATTCTTCTTGTTGTTCCTCTAGCAGCCATCTTCACAAACAAATGTCAGAACTAAAAGGTTAGAAAATTGTAGAAATGTGATGACCAAGCCCGATCAATGTAACCAACTTTAAAAATCTAAAATTACCAACAGAAATGTTAAATTATTAATTTAAAAAATTCCAGTTAAATTTAACACGGTACCTTTGTTTACCTCTGGACGTGTAATCAATAAAGAAGAAATAACTATAATTATATTGATACTTAAATAAGATAAGTAGAGGGACTATAAGAATAAAAGATTAAAATAATTTTGTATGTTTTGTTACCTATATCAAGGAACAATATTCACTCAGTTCATTGTTAATATTCATTACATTATTTTATCGTTAAAAAAAAATAACAACATTTACATTTATTAAAAAAGACAACAGAATTGTTTTTCATCCAGCTTTTTATACTATAAACTTTTATGATATATGGGAAAATACACAAATCAATAAATAATAATAGCTGTAGTAATAGTGGCTTCTTCATATCAGTTCAATTATTTAGCAAAGTTGTTATTTAAATCTATAGTCCTATCTGTTAATCTCAGATAGTTATCAATAATTTGGAATAATTCAGTTGGCTGTGGAATCCTTCCAGTTTGAAGTTTAGACCAGACTGGAACATCATTCAAAGATATCTCAAAAGCCCCAGACTGTAGCAACTGCCCCTCAATCAAATTGCAGGTGAAGTATACCATCAGGCAAGTGTAGAAGCGGTTCTCCAGGCACCAAGTCCACCAGCTGGGCACAGGTCTGTTTATATAATTGAAGATATTAATTTTCGCCATGACACACATAATTACTAATATTTTAGCAAAGCCCTAAAAAGAAAACAAATTAATTTGTATTAATCTAATAAGAAATGATTTCTTATTCTATACTAACTAAGAGCTTGGTAATAAACATGTAATGTGGTGGGGCATCAAAGTTGCCTCCCTCAATAGTAATGTATGGGTACTTCTTCTGGATGATAGTCACATAGTCCTCAAACGCCTTCCGGTAGCCGCAGGAATAACTGTATACAACAATCCAATTAGATTTTTTTTTATATATTGCGCTTGATTCAATTAGTCCTTACCAGTAAAGGAATTTCAACGTTGGGGCACCGACGTTCTGACTCAATTTTGACAAAGGCGGTACATCATCATCGCTGTCCGATATTACCAAATTATTGGACAAAACGATGCACAGTACAAACGATATCAGTAGACATCTTAGTTGCAGTTTTACAGCCATTTCCTTGTCGCAGAAATTGTAATATCTTCCTTCAGCGCAAAACCTTGTGTCACCTGAGCTCACAAAATATATGCTTGTAACGTGATGTTTTCTATAGCTGTGTTGTAACGTTGGTAGAACTGCAGATCCGAAGATACAAATTGGTACCAATCAAATAATATCAAATGGGTAACAACTTGATAACATTTTTTATCTTTTGTCCAATTTAATCATACAGATGCGAGTCAGTTTCAGTTAGTTTTATCTGAAACCAATAATTCACCAATGTAAATTAGATTGTGAGACTAATCAATGAAAACGATAAAAGGAAATTAACTTTGATAATCATTGCTATGATACTAGTAGTAGGGCAGTATCACTATATTATATATTCAAAATATATGTCAACATGACAGATACAAATTAAATATTTAGATAAAATTGTTATTAATTTAATAATTATTATAGTATAATCTCATTGGATTGGTAGATAATACGCTACTTTCCCAGGGAGAGCTCAAACAAATGTTAATTTTGTTGTAATTTTATTATTTGATGTCCAATCAACAAATTTGTAAAAATAAATTTGTATCAAGAGTTCTATCATTTAAAATTAATGCAATTTTAGTTGTATATTCTTCTAATTAGAATTGTTTTTCGTTAGATTAATTAATATTTCTTTAATTATTATAATTTATAATAATACTCGCTTATTACAAATACATTAAATGTGTTACTTTTGAAAGTATCGCCTATTATATTTTTTTTTGTTTCGAAAATAAATTCTGCTCTCCGTGTCCCAAATCAGTTCGATTTTATTTTCGAGGGAGTGGATGTTATCAGCGGTAGTCTCGAGCATATGTGGGGGTTCGATGACCCTTTACTATTCACCCTAACCCCTCGAATACACGCACAGAAATGCGCGGTTGGAATACAACCTAGTACTTTACGTCACCTCCCGGCGCACGAGAACGAGAGGCGCCGCGACGTCAGTCACAATACTGCACTCAAATACAACACACCAGCTACACTCGACTCGAAGAATATAAAAGGGAAAGAAGAAAAAAAAAGAGTATTATTCATTTTACACACAGTCGCGGTGTGTAAAGAATACTAGACAAAAAAAAAACGCAATCAGACGCAAAGATGACCGCCCTAGAGACATCAACAAATATGCAAAGGGATTTCCATATTGCCCGGTGAGTTTTTCGCCAAAAATATAATAGAATAGGACAACTATTATGTTACTTTCCATGAAACGTCTTCCATCCACTCTTCCATCATTTGCTCGAGTTGTATTGATTGATTAATCGTAACATTTTGACGCACGCATAACATTTTGGTAATTTCGTATTTAGACCGGGCGCGCAGTATTAAACATCCTACGAAGTCTAAGTGGTCAGAGTACGAGATTCCCTTTGCGAGTGAACGAATCTGACTAGGGTGGATTTTAATTGCTGTGGGGGTTGAAAAAAAAAGTCACAATGTGGACTACTCTTCGACGGCCTTGCTAATGTTATTCTCCTATCGATCCGCCTGACTCATTCTATGCACCCCCCTGTTCATATTTATATAAGACCATTTGTGTTATATTTTTTTTTTTTCGTTTTGGATAAACATTATTTAATATTATGTTTACACTAACTAAATACAAGTGAACTAATTACAACTGTTTAATAAACAATTTTTAATAATAACAGCAACAAGATTTTAAATGTGCAACTTTTGTAATTACATTTTATTGATATAATTAAATTAAGACAATTTGTTGTTGATGATAATTGTATCTTATTGTATTGTATGTTTGTAGTGTGCAAGATCCAAGTAATAAAAGTAAGACGGCATAGAAATCAAAATCGCAACTCTCAGAAATGGAAGTGGCCGAGCCGCATTTGAAAAACGGCTGCGATGATTTTTGGATGTGGAATCGCTTCGAGAGGAGTATCGAGGTGAAAATCTACGGTACATATTGCAGGATAGCGCATTTCCATCCGAACTGGAGCAGCGGGACGGCCGGTATTCGAGGTACAAGAGTACTGAACCAAGGACGATATTTCTGGGAATTGCGATTGAATCAACGGATTTTCGGTACGAGCATGATGTTCGGCATAGGGACGAAGAAGGCGCGCGTGCACGCGGATACATTTACGAACCTCTTGGGCGAGGATTCGCACAGCTGGGGTTTATCCCATAAAGGCTTACTGTGGCACGGCGGTAAATGGTTCGAATACACGAAACCGTTTCGAGAGAACGAAAGCACCACCGTCGGAGTTCTCTTCGACGGCATCGCCGGAACTCTGACTTATTACAAGGACGGCAAAAGTTTGGGTATAGCATTTCGGGGTTTGAATAAAGTGAAGGAACCTTTGTATCCAATCGTTTCGTCGACAGCGGCGAAAACCGAAATGCGACTGGGTATTATGAGACGGGACTACATTAATTTACAAGACAGATGCCGAACGGTCATAGTAAAACGATTGAGACATCGGCGAGATTTAGATAAACTTCTGTTGCCTCCTCTCATGAAAGCTTACATCAGGGAAGGGATCATCTATTCACTAGGTTCGTACAAGAATAGCAATGCTATGATTCTATAAATGAATTTCATAATTAAAATGTTGTACATAGTTAAAATAAATGTGTATATACATATAATTAAATTATTGTAAATAGTATTTATACATTTGAAATCCGTGGATTTTGTTCCATGTGCCATAATAATCTCGTTTGGGTAGCAAATTCAAGTTGCTGCTAAATGAATTTTAAATATAGTATAATAATGGTTAATGTACATAGCGAGCGTGTGCATCTTTCTGTTTTAAGAGAAATTAGTCAAATATTGTTTTTCTAGTCTAACACTTATTTTTTAAGATACGCCATTCGCGGATGGCGAAAGTAAAATAAGTTTTATAATTTTATTTATACTTTATATGTTACAAGAAACATATAATAAATTAATTGGCCACTTTGTGCAATACAAATATATATTTTCAGGACTCTGTTCAATTTACTTTGTGTTCATTAAATGAAATAAAATATTTTTTATGAATATTTATACATTTATTTATCCTAATGTTTTCAGCAAAAAAATACATTTCAACAATCATTTATTGTAAAATAAAATTTTCTTCTCTACAGTTTTTCTTTGAATGAATTCTTTAGACATTAATATTGGTGTTGGTATTAAATTGCTCTTCTTAACTTTTTTATTGGATCTCTGAGGTTGTGTGGAATCATCATATTTTATATAAGCTTCCTGAACTAACATCTTCGTATTTGTTTCCTTGGGTGCTTCAAGCCATGATAACATTGGATCATTATTAATTGCATCATTATCTTCAGCTGCAGCTGTATGAGATCTCTTATGCTTCCATCCAGAATCAACACTATCATTGGTGGGATGGAGCCTCTTCAAAACATCTTTGTTTCTTTGCAATAATTTGGCCCTTGTTTCATCAATGTCTTCATGCTCAGGTGCATAACAAACATGCAAAAGACCTCCATAAAATGACTTGTTATCTAAGAATCTTTTAGCAATTCTTGCAGATTGTATTCTATCAAATTGAATGTGGTAGCACTCTGTGAAAACCTCTGTTTCATGATCGGATACCAAGGATATACTTTTCACTTGGCCATATCTTGAGAATAAAGCTTTCAACTCAGACCTAAGATTTATCACTGGCACACCATAAACAAACAGATGTTGAGACTCTGATGAAACTGTATACACTTTTACAGCTGTTAATTTTTTCCCTTGTCTGTATGCTGCTCTAGTTTTGCATAAATCCAATTGTTTATGATGTTTAATTTCCTTTTTACACACTGACTGTTCCATTCTACTTATAGGTTAACGTAAACATAAAAGAGAGTTGCCTATATACAAACTTATGTTATTTGGGAAACATACCTTCCTTTTTTCGAACACAATCGATTTTTTTTTTTAATTTTATACATGAATGAAATGAAGTATTCAATATATTTAAACAACACTAAGATAGAATGACACTCTTGTAGAAGGAATCAATCGCTAGTTAGAAAGAGAAAAGTTTTCTTCAATTTATGAAAGAGAATAAAATAAATAATTGGTTTTCAAAATTATTAATATAATATAACGGAGAAAGTAAATAATAAATATTTTATTTTTTTGTTTATAAAGCTTGAAAGTATAATCATAAAAGAGTTTCATACTTGCAAATGTTTTGTATAATTTAAAATTATATTAATCTAATTTACATAAACTAGTTAACTAACCAGAAGAGTTTTTTAATAAAAAACATGTAATCATTATTGACACAAAAAAAAGAATCATCTCTGAGTATTCCGAAAAAATTGGCTAATTGTTTCATTCAACCCAAGGAAAAATTATTAAATAATCCTAATTATTTAAATTCCTAGATACGAACAAAACACAAACGTCAGAAACAGTACAACGACTATTATTAAAATGGCTAACCACATCGGCATCGAATCTGCAAATAAATATAATCATGTTAATGGAATGTTTATGAAGATATTCCCATCATTTATATTTACGTCTATAAGGCAAGCTGTGGACGCAAACTTGATTATCAACTGAAATTGATATGACCGAAGCTTCTGAAATACTCGTTACGGTGTGCTCCTTCTCAGATGACACCGGCAAAAACTCTAATCCAGTTACAAACATGGAATGTGCACCAGGGATGTGCAGTACTTTCTAAAAGCACAAGACATATTAATTAATATTATGGATGAAAGATATTTGTACAATTCCTATTAACCTGTAGACTAAAGGCAATGTAAATACAAATGGAACCGCTGAACATTGTACCAATAGCAACGAATCGGCCATCGTCTCTCACTGCCAGCGCAGAAATACTCTCATCCACAGCAGATACCCTATTGATAGATCCATCTTCTGGATTCCACCTTTGAAGATACGACTTTTGTTTCTTGGCTACTCCAGTAGGATTGCTAAGCATATACAATGCACTCACATTCTTCTCCCCTTCAACTGGTCCAAATCTAAATAAATATCAAATTATTTATTGTGTATGTTTATAAAGCAACTAATACTAAATATGAATTGATCTAGAAACTAAAGAATGCTATACTAAGAATATATTATTACCTAAATGTTTACCTGCATCTTTTAAATAAATATTTTGATCCCTCTGGCTGCTTCCAACTCAACTTTTGTTTCTCTTTACCAGTTTTGTAATCCCAAAGTATAGCCAAACCATCTTTCGCTATAGTAACCAAATAGGCACCAAATGGACAAAAGTCTATATCATCGATTTCCTTTTTGTGTGCTTTCAGTGTATGCTTCAGTTGAAGACTTGGAAAGTTCCATAGTCTGACTATACCATCTGTACCACCTAAAAGTCAACAACCTCTTGTTTCATTATTTTTTTTTATCAAGTTATTATAAACAATATCAAACCTGTTGCCATGCATTTTCCTGATGGGCATATCCTAACAACTCTTTGGATTGGTTCATCTTTATAAAAATCTGTCTGTACACTATCACCACTTTTAATCAAAAATGTTAAACGTTTATAATTGTTATTCTTTGATGTAGACTCCTTTTTGTATGAATTCCTTCTGTGCCTCACACCATTAGTTCCCTCATTCTCGATATTCTCTGTGCTATTTACTACTAATTCCTTTTTAACATTATATAATTGGCAATGGCTCTCTTGGCCAGCAACTATGTAACTATGTTTTCTATCACTGAATGCTGCACAATTCATAACAACACTGCTGCCAGTTTCATGACGGATCACCTCCTCTACAATGAATTTCTCTCCATCGTGTGAAAGTTCATATATCTCCTAAAAATTGATACATTTTCATTAACTTTATACTTCATAATTATGTTTACTCACAAATCCATTGGCTACACCTGTTTTCGCAGTCCCTCCTCCACCTCCAACCATAATATGTCGACTAGTTAACATTTGCACAGTATACAATGGAAAATTCACTCTGGCTAACAATCCTTGCTTGTTTCTACGCGTTGGAGCCATTTTTTACTAATAACTTCTTTCAGTTTTTGATATTTTGATAGAACAATTAAACTAGTTCCACGTATGTTCGTTCAATGTAACCTAACAATAATGAAATGTCATCGATATATGTTGACGTCAATATGAAAACAACTGGTGGTTGTCATGGATGTTAACAATCATATTGGGTTGCCTACTTATTAAAAAACATAAATATAAATAAATTAGTTTACAATGATTATATTCTAAAATTGGTATCGATTGACTACAAAATATTCAATAATATTCACTTCAAATTGTTGTCCCCAAAATAAGTTTATTTTTTTAAATAATTCAATATTAAATGATATATAAAGCACTTTAGCGTTCTAAAATTGTAACAAAACACAAGACAATTAAAATTAGTAAAAACACGGCAACCAAATTATCATCTTCAGATAATGTGTTCGGGCTTTTCCGGATCTATCCATTTTCTAAAAACAACTAATATATTTTTGTTTGTTACAAGCCTACATTAACTTAAATCTTGTTTATTTGGTCAATCTATACCTGCCTATTTTAGAACATTTTAAATTTGGGAATTTTGAAAGTGAACAGCTTTTACACTATTAAAAGGACATTCCAGTCTAGTATCTTATGGCTTAGGAATCAATAATGCAAAACATTATCAGTCATCGGAAAACTAAAAATTTCCCGTAAAATCGTTAATAATATCTCTTTCATTAATATAATTTATGATTGCTATAAAATAAGAATGAAATATGAAACATCTCTTTATATATAAGCACAGGGTATTGGGAATTATAGAACGGAATAAAATAAAAAAAAAGTAAATAATTGTCTTTGTTAATCAATTTTATTAAGCAACTTTAGTAGTTTACAAATAATATAAAACACGAAAGAAAACTAAATAGTAACACATATTATGTGAAGGAAAAAAATAACAATCTCAAAGAAATAAAGTACATGTTAAATCAATGTATAAATAAAATAACGAGAGAACATTAAACAACTAAATAATAAACACCAGTAATATCAATATCAAATAAGAAAAACAAACCAAAAAATTAGAGATGAATAAAAATGAAAACGTAGAAACGTTGAAAATTTTTAATAGTTTTTGTTATATATGAAAAGCGTATGAAATTGTTAATACAAATCGAGTGCTTCGCTACACAAAAACGCTACATTAGCTAAATATTATTGTTTTCACTATAACATTTTCATTTTGTTTTCTTTAATTTTCTTCAAACGGAAATAAGAGAAAGAAACAACAAACTCATCATCACAGAAGCTTGTAGTCGCTGTTTCGTTCGCGTCGGCCCAAAGTAGAAAAATACATATCCCAGTCCAGCCACGTGTATCCGAAAAATATATTATAAAAAATTTATATTTCATTCTACCACAAAAATTTGAGCACTCGCAAACCCTTTCGAAGATATAATAGGCCAAAGCGAACGAAACTGGAATGAACCACAATAAAGCACATTTCGATTTTTTCTTTTATTGTTTTACACAATAAAATGGCAATCATTAAATTCCCTTTCACACCAAAGGCAGCACAGCGGTTGTATTAAATATCAATAATTTACTTTTTTTTTTTTTAAATCTTGAAACAATACACGAAAACCATGCAAATCACCATCAATTAATGCGAACCATTTTACTAACTAAATAAACGAGAATCTCTTTAACGTGCAGAGTAAACCAAATATAAAAGTACAATGAAAATATGCTGTTAACTGGTTTTCGAGTGAACAAGGTGGTTCGCATTAATTGTTGACGAACATTTTACATCAATTATAATATCTTCAATACACAACATCCTTTCTTTTTTTTTTTTTGTTCTCAAAATGACAAAATATATAAACCATATGAATTATTCTTCTTCTTTTTTTTTAATCCTCAATTTTTAAATTTAAAATCCTAACTACAAGTGATAGTGCGAGAAACGTTCTCCGTTTCAAAGCTTTCTCATTTATCATTAATAATAGTATTAATATTCATATCTTCACACGTGGCTAAGCTTTAGCTGGTCTTTTTTTCATAATGCAGTAGCCGGCGGGTACAGATATCAGAAAAGTTACACTTCAAAATTATATACATTTCAAACTAAACTACAACAAAAAAAAACACATTTGGACAAAATATTTGCAAAGAAATAAGAACAGCATATAAATCTTTCCTCGGATTAGCACCCACCCTCTTGCAATTTATATGAAACTATCTAAGTTTTTTTTTTTCATTATTAGTTTGGTTAGTTACCCTCTCACAACATGAATTATTATATCCAAATTAAAGCAAGAAATATTACAAAATAAATATTTTAATAAAATAAACGTACATTTAAAAAGGCATATAAATATGTTTTCATAATGACAGCTTAAATAGATATAATATCAAATTTAAAAAAAAAAACTTGAAGGTTCTCTATCGGTGATATTGTACTAAGGACACTACCTATCCAAAGCACTGTTAAATAAAAGCTGAAATATATATAGTAAAGGTCGCTTAAATGTTTAACCGGATGACGCAGTAGTGACCTGTTGAGTGGCTAAGAGATTAGCCTTGTTCTGGCGAACAGCCTCCGCGCGCTTCTCCTAGAAATTTGAATAATCTCTATACTCTCATGTACAAGGCAAATTACACAGATTAATTAAATATTTATGATATGATGATGATTCGTATGATCAACGCATTCAATCAATCAAAACAATGTATAGCAAAGTAAAATTTGTTTTGTAACAGTGATTTGTACGTACGTTCTTTTTAATGTTTTCCAGTTTCTTCTGTATCTCCTTCTCGCGATTCACTTCAGCCACATTTAATTTGGTTTCTAATTGTGTGGATTTTTCAGTCTTACGGATCTCCATCGTTTGTTTTACCTCTACAGTGCGTTCATTCTAAACAATAATCGATAGACTATAGCGCTTTCCAAAGCAAAACTAGTTTTTTTTTTTAAATGTTGAGTTTCATATTGAAATTTCGCATTCCTCAATTATCAAAATTTGTTTATAAATTGTGAATGCGAATTTTCAATAAAAGCACATGTGAAAAAAAAGCTACTAACGTATTTTTTGGCCGCTTCTAATTTCCTCTGGATCTCCTTTTCCCTATTCTGTTCAGCAGTAGTAAGCTTATTTTCTATTTGGGCGGATACTGAAGTTTTTCTTTCCTCGACGGTTTGTTTGATCTCAACTGCGCGAGTATTCTATAGAACATTTATATTTTTCGTTGTTACAAAACGTATTTGTGTAAAAGCGCGTTCAGTTGCAATACGAAGCACGCATTGACATGTGATAGAGAAATGTTTATATTTTGTTATAAGCAAAACAATGATGTGTGATAGACTTACGTGATTGCGGAGTTTTTCTTTTTGCTCTTGCTCGAGCTGTTCGCGCCTGTTTTGTGCATGATCCAGCTTCTCTTGTACAGCAGATTCTAATTGTTGGAACTTAATGGTGTTCAATGACCGAACACGATGGACCTGGTCTTCCTGTCGGCCGTAACACACAGAACGTGCAAAACGAAAATGAAACGAACGGAAAAGAAAAAAAGAAGCGATGATGAACATGTGAATGAGTTCGATGAGTAGTGGCAGCCGCTGAAACGGAAACGGCTATGAACTTACGTGCTCCTTGAGACGTTCGATCATTTTCTTGATGTTCTCATCGCGATGTGCCGATGCAGACTTCAATTTTTCCTCAATAGCAGTTCTCACCTCATCCGTTTGCTGCTCCAAAGACAATCTGGTCTTTTCGACGTTTTCAATATGATCCTAGAGAGGTTGGACTTTTGTAAGAATTGTCATTTTGATAGATGGTCGGTCGTCTTACCTTCAACTTGGACTTCAAATCTGTAATGTAAGCCTCACGCTTTCCAACATGCGTTTCCATCTTCTGCTCCAATGCATCTTTAGTGTTCGTTATAAACTGAGTAGTTTGCTCATCTTTCTTGCGAGATGCGTCCTCAATCTTTTGCATCTTTGCTGATAGAGCAGCAATCTTGTTAAACTCCAATTGCTATATAAAACAGAAAATACGTAAAATTGATATTGACTCGAAATATGTTTAGCAATATTCCAAATGTTATTAACAGATTATTATAAAATTTCAATTCATTACAATATTTTATATGAAATTTATTTAAATATAATAAACCTAAATATTATTAATAAATTTTAGCTTATTAATTTCCATAAAATATATTTAGAATCATATTATAATGAAATATACCAACATTCTATAATATACGATATTATTATACGTATTCATTACAATAAATAAATATCAAATTTGATATAAATAATGCCTACCTGTCTACGTTCTTCGGCAGCTCTCAATTTCTCTTCAATATCATGAACGGACACGACGTTTTTGTTTGGAGAGTTGGTCCTCTTCGGAGGAGTAGCCTTAGCTTCCGGTTCGCCAAGAATAACTTCGTAGCATAATCCGCCACGGGTCTTCTCTTGACACCTGACCTCAGTTGCTAGATATCAAATAGAGATGAATCATTAAACATATATAAAGAACCTAATATTAATAAATAAAAACGAAATAAAAAAAATAATCAAATCAAAGGATTGGTGTCATTAAGCATAAACTGTATGTTTGCAAAGGATTATTGTCCGAGCGGTTTCCCCGTTTAAGAGAGTGACGTAACGCACGACGCCCAGCGTCTATGGTGGTGGAGATGTTAGGGGAGAGAGGCCAGGCGTCGCCGCGATGGGGATCAATAAGCCCCCGGCAACCGACCCTGGCTAGAGGATACACTATATACCCTCCTCTCACTTGCCCTTTAAACTCTCACTCTTTCCACGTCTCCATCCACATTTCTGGGACCTCAGACCCCGCTCATAAATACGTAACAGCCCAGCAACAGCAACCTCGTTCAAGGGCAGTCAGACTATGCTACATATTTAATGCAAGTTAAAGAATGAGCGAACAAAACATGAAAAAAAAGAACATTGTAATGCATCCCCAAATCCATATCCTGGGTAACCCTAGAGGACCGCAATGCGGAACAATTACATTCCAAAACAACGATTACCAACTATCCGCCTCTCGCCAAAATTCATTCGCATGCAGAAAATTATTGAACCAGACACGCGATTTAAAAAAAAATCAAAACATTACTTCATTATTAATAAACCATTTCATCGACAAAAAGACACCCTTATCACATAAAGTCACAAAAAGACAAAAACCTATACAGAAGGGAGAGTTCGTTTCGTGAAAGAATTGGGGGAGAAAGGCCATATCAAAAATTCACCCTGATCTTATCAGACAGGGGGTTATTTATATATGTTTAGATATATGAGATTTATATACCAGAAGCATAATATATAAGATGCAGGGGTAGAAAAATAAGAACTTATAACAAAAATACTATTAAATTATAAAAAATGTAAATATTAAACGTTTTTCATCAACTTACTGACAAATTGCACTTTTTTAGGTTGGATAGTTCTGGGTTTCGTCTTCACTTTAGCAACCAAACCTTGATGGCGACGTTGTACTGTATTGTATGTTAGCAGCAGAAATAGATAAAGAAAAGTTTTTTTTTAATTAATAGGCATGCATTTACATATTAGTAAATATATTAGAAAATTACGTAAATTACATTATTTCTAAGGAATATAAATCAAAAAGTTGCGTTTCCGTAATTACTTTATTAAATTAACTATATATGCAAGCCAATCAGTTGCATCTAGGATTTCCGGTAAGTTATTATAATTTGAAATTTGGTTCGAATGTCCAAGACTAGAAATACTTTTAATAAATCTAAACTCTATTTGAAATTAATTGTATGAATGCTAGATAATTTAATCGAATATAAACTGATATTCTGGAAAGACGCCCTAAACCAGAGGAAATAATCCCGTAAAAAGAATTACGTAGTTAAGACAATTGCAGATGGGTAATAAGAAACGGAAGTTCGATGCGTGTCCAGCCTGCGTGGCACAAGTAGGAGTGTGGCGACGCCATAGCAGAATCCAGGCGCCCCAGCCGGCCGGGCATGACTCACAACAGAACCCCATATAATGTCTAGAGGGAATTCCGGTGTCCAAAGTTTCCACCGCCCTTCGCCTCGCAACATGAAACCCACCCACTGTTAACATTATTTCATTTCCGAAAAGCAATAAACGTCATTATACCCTTCGCATCCACCATTTATTTAATATATATATATAATGTAAAATATCTATATTGCAATAAATACAATCAATTTACTTCAGAATGTAATTAGGGTATAGTTATATAATGTATTTTATTTTTTGCAACCATAAATTACTACCTTCCCCTTGGGAGAAGCTTCGCAATTTTGAAATCAATCAATCGATTATAGGTAAAGCTACAGATATCAAACATGTATAGAAAATAAATATGTACGGAAAGAAAGATTTATACGTTATATTTTTGATTTATATTCGTTCGAAATGTATACGTAATATTGGACAATCTTAAACATTTATAACTTGCTGTAAAAGAATCAATATTTGCATATTTTAATTAAAGTTCAAGTCCAAATATTATTAATTCAATGAAATATCGATTTATTGACGTTGAAAATAGAAGTGAAAAGAGAGAAAGGGCGAAAAGAAGACTTACCGGCTACTGGAAGCGGCGCTCTGCAGGTGTGACAGAAGCAATGGAAAGATTCCCTTACCAATCCGATCAACATTTTCGCTTGTTTGCTTTCTTCGCTTTACAAAATAAGTACACTAACTAACAGACGAGTTCTGGAGGTGAGTGGGCGAGAGAACGGAATGAAGAGGTTTCTCGGCAGTGCAAATCCCGTGTGCTTCCTATTGCGACAGAGGGTTCCAACAGTCGGCGGCACACTGTGCAGGTGTGGTGCCGGCCTTTTTCTGCGGCGTCGCGACGTCCAATCGACAGATCGATAAGCGACGGCGTCGTCGCGCCGCCCCCGACGCCGCGACGTCTTCCGCAAGCGATCCGCGCCTCGCTAGAACGGCCGCCGCCATCCATGGGAGGAACAGATCAGAGAAACGGCGGAACAGATTGCACCCAACCCGCTCACTATTTCCTGTTTCCTATTCACGTGTATTCATATACAACCAGGTGTCTGTTCATCATTCCTATAATGATTTCCAAGATTGAACACACCCAAATACATGGATGTAATCCCACCATCTGTGCATGAACGTCTCTCTCCTCATTTTTCTACAAACCCACTGTTTTTCCATTGCATAATTCATTTCCATAGAGATTAAAACTTTCTCTCGACTTCGTATGCGTACAATAGCAATCAATTAAATAATTACATGATTCAACATTATCATCAACAAACTATTTAAATATCCAATATATCATAATCAAACTCTAAAGGAGTAAAAATTAACAAAATATTTTGATTCACAGTATTTTAGTCGAAAAATAATTTAATTATACCAAATATTTAATTCTACTTTCAAGAGATTTAAACACAATTATTCGAAACTACAGAAATTAAAAATATTAAATATTTTATAAGAATTTCTGTCATTTTCACAATTGAAAATGTATGAAAATTTGAAAGAGCAAATATCACATATCAAATAAATAATATCACTCAAATATTGTGTAGTGCTTTTGTGGTTGTGAAGTTCTCGAGGGTGCACGCCCATCAATACAGAAAGACTGTTGAAAGTTTAATTTCCTGGAGACACGCATGTACGTGCACACCTAGTGAGTCCCAAAGACAGCGAGGAGGTCAATAAGACCAGCACAAGGAACCAAAAGCACAAGGTTTTATACTTGCTGAAGCCGTATATGTGCGAGTTTGGTTGTATTTGCAATTATTCCTGGCGGAGGAAAATAAAATAACTAGAAATGGCAGCAAACCAGTTTCGAGACGGACAAGAAGCCAAGACATCTCCCCCAGTACTTGGGACATTTAATAACACAGACGTGACTCATTCCAGGCTACCGTTTTCTTTTATAAGGCTGCATCAATAGATCAAATGGTTAATTAATGTATATTGTTTGCACTCAATGAGGCATAACTGTTGTTTGTTGTACCGGTAAACCTATTACAAAGAAAGCGGACAATAAATGATGTAAAAATAAATTAAAATTGTGTTTGTCCATTACAGTTTGTCATATTACGAGATCAAATATATAGAAGGATCGTAAAAGCAAAAAGAATAAACCGCCCCAATCACTGAGGTTATGAGCGAAGTAGAGATGACTCAGATATTATTGATGGGTCTGTCGTGTATAGGAGAAATTATAAAAGTAGAGTAAATAGAAATATTTAATAAAAACAAAACAAAAATCGAAAAGGTGTGCGCGACAAGAGAAAGTAATGCAAGAAGTAATGTAGGTGACAATTTTCTATGGGTTAATTTAAATCTGAAGAGATGACTTGCTGAAATAATATATGATGAATTTCCACAACTGAACAAGCAGGCGATGGGCGTGCAGTTGGGTTTGCTATGCATTTTTAAAACACGTTTTCGACCTAGAGGTTCATAAACTGGGAACGTCCAACATATGAGAATATTCTTCAAAGACTTAATTACCCTTGATTATAATACATGAAAAACCTTATTACCGCTATTAAAAGCATCAATCAAATAGATAACATAATTAGTTTCGATTAATTACATAAATTAATACTGATTACGGATTATGACATTACTTAAACTTATATAAATATAGGCAAATAACTGAAGTAAAGATGTCGATGCACTGCAGTATTTTAGCAACTCGTTCATGCATAAAGAGAGGACGCATAAATATTCCTTTACCTCCAGTTAGACATATTTATGTTCAGCATATTTCCCTTTCTATTGAAAGACTAAACAAAAGACAATAAATTTGGGTTACACCTTGTTATCGTATTAGAAATATAAATAAATCAACGTAACAGAACTGCTGATTCCAATAAAGGCAATTAGAGAGAGGGTTCTGCACAAAGTCACCAAATACAGTGCAAATTAAAAACAATGGACTTTCTGACCCCGGATGACCTGAGCGCCGTTGCGCCATCCTTTCTTTCTCTTGCAAGGTCAGTTATTAAAGCGAACCCGACATGCACAAAGATCCTCCTTTGTCTTTGTATACTTGAAAATAGATCAAGCACAAATAGAATATGCATAGACACTAATCGCAACGACGTAATAAACAAAACAAATTGGGCCTACTTACATGGGCTACTTTGAACATCTGCCATTTCGTCGTTATCGGGAAGTCTGAAATTCAAGAATAAAGAAAATAAACATAGAACCGATACGAAACAGAGATTCTGCTGCACGTCTAAATCATCGAGAGCTACTACCATCCATATATATTCGGTACTATTTACGTTGAGTGCAGTTAAGTGGCATTTTGGAAATATTTACGTTGAAAAGTTCTTCAACCTTCTTCAACTGCCACCAGTTATTACTGCAATAATCTACCTCGGCATATGTTTAACAGTTTTCACTTTTGAAACAAAACAATAAAATATTAAATTGGCGATAAAAGAAAAGTTGTAAATCATACTACTTCGTATCAATATATGAAAAAAACAAAAAACTTACTGACACATCGCATTTTATTAATGAAGGTTATATTTTCAAACTCACCAACGATTCAACTATTAAACTGCGATTTACTGCGTGATGGCCCTTCGGCAATGGTGAACTGTGGAAGTACTTCCTGGTGGCTCTCCTGCTGGATAAAACAAACTCCTTTTCTGCGAGCAGAATGCAGCTAAATGCACTTCACGAAATTCTCTCCGTTCGCTTTATAAACATAGACGACAAGCGAGTGCTTGATTTTGCACGTGGGAAACGCACGTCAGTCATTGGTTGACGTCCGGTAACGGAGAGACAGGCTCTCGCTGGATTGGTTCAATTCGAATTATTTTTAAATTCAAATGTTCTCCCTCCAGTTGCCACAGGCAAACAAACAAAAAAAAACAACTTCCAACCGACTCTGTAAACAAAGAGATCACAACAGGAATAATTCCATCCCGAACACACAACATGATGCAAATCGAAACAAAGGAGATTTAGATTTTTTTTTATCTTTCTTCATTTACCTAGTTGATAAATATTAAGGAACAAACATATTTTACGCCTTTTGTGCATGCGAGCATTTTTGTATTCTTCAAAACTCGTCTTTCCTTTTATAGGAAGAAATTTTGTTTCTCTCATTTCTTTGACCTTCTGCTTCATATGAATCTCATATAAATGAATCATTCGCCCCGTCTGCAGACTCTTGTTTTGTTTCCTATTTGAATCAGTGCGAAAACTTGCCAACGGTTTTTGCCATGGCCACAGTCAACGGTTTTTTTCGGGATCTTTCTTCGCCTACGCGATTTTTGCTATTGCTGCAAAAATGAGTTAAACCGTCGCTGAAGTGCAGCTTGCACATTCGCGTCCTTCGGTTATTCACTTCCTCAATGTTCTCTCCGCAATTGCAGACAATGTCTGTCACCTCTTAATCAAATTTATCGCATCAATAATAATAACGGAGCAATATAATTGATGCAAATTACATATGATAACAATACTAAATAAATAAAAAAACAGATAAACATTTCTATTTATATTCTGTTAAATAAACAAATAATAAAACGCATTTTATTGTTTCAATTTACATTAACAATTATATTTTAAAATATTTAAACACAAATAACTTTATACTTAAAATTGTTTAATTGAATTTAGAGTCTCAAAATACAATTTCCTTATTGTTGTAATCAAATTCTTATCAATTTAATGCAAAATTGAATTAAGTATCAAAACGCCTACGATTTATCCTTAAAATGTATAAATTTGTATAAAATCATTACAATTATTAGTAATAAAACTGCTTGAAAATAGTGAATTTATTATATATTCATTTCAATACTGATTCCAATTAGAATATCGAGTTCACATGAGTTCTTCAGGCCATTAATCCATGATTCATGTGTTATAAATATACAGATTAATAAA